GTGAGACCCACTCTCCACATGGTGTATGTGGTGGGGGGAGGGCAGCTAGGCAGCAGGCCTAGCTCCTTGTTGCTGTCCCTGGGGTCTGTCAGGCTCCACGGCCCTCTTCCTTAATGGAAAAGTCTTCTTACACCTCTCCCTTCCCCCAGTTCTCTCCTTCCCTCTGCCCCTTCCACGAACCTCCGAGGGGGAAAAGCTTGAAAACTCAACCTGGGTAGGGGGAGGAAACAGCAAAACCTGGTGTTGTTCTTGGACCTGCCCAGTTTCCCTCCTGTTCAGGTGGCCTGGAGTAGGGGATGGAGTCCCAATCCCACCATAGGAGAGAGTGAACGACCCGGGGCGGGGAGGACAGCGCCATCTCCAAGCCAGAGTCTCTTTTATTCAGGGCATGTCCATTATGCACCTGCTCTCAGCCAGGCCCTGCACAGCACTGGAGGGACAGTGTGCATCAGACATGGCCCAATTTTCCAGGAGCTCCAAAGTCCAGATGGGGAGGCAACCTAGCATAATGATAGCTTCATGGGAGAAAGGACCCCAAAAAGGCCTTGCATGCCAAGTAGATTTCCATCAGCTAAGACTGGGGAGGAGGCATTCCACAGAAGGCACAGCTTGAGCAGAGACCTGGAGGTGACAGTGCTTAGCTCATGCAGGATAGTAGGGTGTGGTCATCATAGCTGTGGCTTCCTTCTCAGGGGAGAGGTAGCTGGACAGGTAAGTGAGGGCCAGGGTGGGTCAAAGGGTCTTGCAGGCTAAGCTGATTGGTCTGAATCCTGTGGCCACTGGGGAGCCACAGGAGGGTTTTACCAGGAAGAAGTTGTGGGGTTGATGGGGGGTTGGGTGGCCTGGATGTGGGGCATGGAATCCAGCAGTAATTCAGAGGTAGAACTGGTGACTTGGCAACTGATCAGGAACAGGGACTGTGTTACTTAAGAGGAGCTTGTGGGGCCTTGGGCAAGCCTCACAGCCTCAGGAAGCCTCAGTTTCCCCACTGCTAAGATGGACAGTTAACCCAAATGGTCTCTGAGATTGCTTCCTGTTGTGATACTTCCTGATTTGCAGTATAGCCCCTGCCCATGGAGGTGATTTGTGGGTATTGGGCCAGACAGGCACCTGTGCTAAGCCAGCTAAGTTGAGGAGCAGTCCTTCCCCATTTACGGTAAGCTTGGAGTGGAGAGAGGGAGGAGGCGTGGGCTCTGGGTCTTCTGGGTTGACCTAGGCCATGGTAGGGGTCCCCAAGACCTACCCCAACCTGGAGTGGAGCGTGGGGGGAAAGCCTTGGTGTCCAGAGCTGAAGGTGGGGGAAGCCAGCCTGCAGCAAGAGCAGGACAAATGAGACTACTACAGTTTCGCCATAAGCAGACCCTGAGTCCAGAATCTGGGTGCAAGTGGTTTATTTGGGAGGTAATCTTACAAAGCACATGAAAACATGGGGATGGGCAGGGTGGAAGGAAAACCAGTAAGAATTGTGTTAATCAGAGGGTTACCATTACGGGCAACCGGTGCAGAAGACACTTGAGAATTGTACTCAGGGACAGTGACGCTGAGGTGTCTTTCTCTGACTCCTGTCTCTTATTGACTGAGGGCCGCCCCTGGGGAACATTAACGGTTAACACGTCCAGCCTGCCCAGTGACTGGGCCTGGAGACACAGGAGACATCGGCAGTATGCGGGAACTCTAGCAGTGTCCTCCGGAGGGCGCCACGGGACTTCAGGGAGGGCACTGCAGGGGCCAGTTGACGTGGGCTCCTCAGAAAGGGCTGAACAGCTTAGACCTCCCTCAGGCCTGGGGTTCTGATGGGCAACTGTCACGTGACACAGAGTCAAAGACCCTGGCCAAGACTTCCCATTCAGAGAGGCCACAGAGGAATGTACCAAGTGGCCTATGAGGGGGATGGGGCAGTGGGCAGGCCTCTCAGCTCAGGACACCACCCTTTTATGCAGACACTGGGCCAGGTGCCTGTGCCTAAGGACCCGGGGCATCTCAGGAGGATAGGGGGACGAAGGGCAGGCTGCAAGGGCCACCCGGAGTTCTCTGAAGGCCCCTTGCCCCACCAGGTGGACTCTGGCAGGGCCCACGCTGCCCCAGAACCGCAAGGACTTGTAGCGGGGAGAGACTTCCTGAAGGCAGTGGTCAAGCTGGAAACAGAACGGCCTGAGTGAGGCTGGTGTGTAGCTGTGTGGCATGTGGATGAGGGATGCCTGATGGTGCCCAGGGTATGTGTGGTAGGTGTTTCATGTGTCCATATGTGTCTGTGGAATTCATCTCTCCCTTCCCAGAGCCTCAGGGAAGCTCTCCTCCCCGCCCCCCTCCTCCCCATCACTCCACTGCGCCCAGGGCACCTGGAGTCATGCAGGGTGAAGGAGACACGCAGTCCCGTCCTGTCCTATCCCTATCTTGTTTACCTTGTCTCGATTTTCCTCTGACAGGTTTCTCAGGCCCCTCAGCGCCACAAACACCTCATAGTGGGGAGCCGAGCCCTCGGAGGAATCTGCAGACAAACCCCCATGTTCACACACTTTTGTCAACAGGGCAGCTCCCAACGCCAATGCTGGTGCTCCTACCTGTTCCACCTTACTCTGAGGTTCATGGGAGAAGAGGAATCCCTTGGTAGAGAGGAGGGTAAATGGAGAGGAACCCAAAACCTAATCGTAAATATGAAGCAGGCCGGGAAGGGAAAGGGGGAGAGACTGCAGCAGGAGGGATGGGAGTTAGACCTGAGTGAGCTAGGACTTGTGTTAGGAGCAACCAAAGAGGCCACGTCTTCTGACCTCTTTTCTAAAGTTCTTCCATCCGCATGGAATGGCAGGGGGGGCAGCCAACTCAAGAATGGGGGGCAGGAGCTGATGAAGAAGCTTACCCAGAATGCTGCTCTCCACACAGCTGTGGTCTAACAGTTTCGCCCCTGGCCACTGCCCGACAGCCCGGCCCAGGGCCTCAGAGAACACATCCTCTCGAATGTCTTCTCCTCTCACACTCAGGGCCTGGCCCAGCCTGGGGAGGAGGAAGGAGACAGAGGAGCCTAGGGCACAAGGACGGCCCCTCAGCTCCCCAGGGGGTCACGTACCTGCAGACGAACCTGACGACTGGACACCGATTGTAGGCACCAACCACCTGTACTACATCACCCAGGCAGCACCTGACAGGTGGAGGAGTGGGGGGCGAGATCAGCCCCAGGGGCCCATTCACTCATATCCCTGGCCTTCGATAGGGTCCCAGGGGGGTGGGCAGGCGATCACCTGGTAAGGCTGATGTGGTCGGTCAGCACCAGCTCATACTCCTTGCCCTTCTGGGCCTCGGCCAGCAGGACGGTAGAGGCAGCCTCTTCCTGGGCTCCTTTGTTGACTGGGAGCAGCTCAATAAAAGGAGCTCCAGGGGGCAGAAGGTAGAGCCCGCGGGGCTGCTCTGGCCACAGGTTCAGGCCCACCACCCCTGTGGGGAGCAAGCAGCCCTTCAGTGGCCAGTGCCCTTGCTTTCTGCTAGGCAGTAGCCCCTCCCCCGGGCCCCCAGGCCCCAGTTCTCTGAGCAGCTGTTCCCACTGCTGCCCTCCCACCCCTCCTTCCTGGCTCCCCCAGGCTCAGTGTGCCGCCTCTGAGACCCTAGTTGGGAGGAGGCGGTGGTTCGGCGGGTGGCAGACCTGGCGCCAAATGCTGGCGCCGTGTGAATTTGTGCAAGTTTCTTAACCTCTGTGAGCCTCAGTTTCTGCATGTGTATAAACGGAGCTGTTGGTGTTGGGGGGATTAAATGATTAGGTAGGGCTCAGTGTTTCGCAGCTAGCCGTGTGACCTCTGCCCCCTGCCCCAGCTCACTAGCCTTGAGTCCTGCTGACCTCCAGAGGCAGAGTAAGCCGGGGAGAAGAAGGCTAGCCCTTGGCACCACAATGCCTCCAGGGCAGCCACAGCCTCGGCCTGGCCTCCTGCGTCCAGAGTCACCACCACCTGTAGCTTCGGCCAGAGCCGAAGGGCCAGTCCTCGGGGCCCCTGCTCCAGGGCCTTCCGCAACTCAGCTGCCCGTCTGGGGAGAGGCACCCCCGGGTTCCCGGCAGCTATTGTCTCAGCTAGCTCTTCGCCATCCGCCTCCAGGCCCACAAAGACGTCCAGGAGTTCGGCTGCTGTCCCACCTTCCAGTGCCCGCAGCCCTGGGGACCTCAGTGCCTTCAGCAGCAGGGCCCCAGGGTGCTTGGCTCCAGGGGCGCTAACCTGGCCCAAGGCACGCCAAGGCCAGGGGAGAGGGCAGGGCCAGGGGGACGTAGGGGTCACACAGGCGGTGCCTCCCGGAGCCAGCACTTCTGGATAGGCCTTGTTTAGGGCTGCCAGACCCAGCAAGGTGGCCTGGAGGGAGACAAGAGAGGGTGTTGGCCCTGGGCCTGAGCCAGTCCCTGAGCCCCCAGTTTGGGGGTTCTTTGCCCACCCTGCTGGGAGGGTTTGGCTGCAAGTAGGGGTCTCTAATGGGGCTAGGCTCCAGCCTTCTCCGTTTACCTGCAGAGAGGCCTCCCCGTAGTACTGGGTTGAGGTAGGAGGCGAGAGCTGCCCCTCACTTTCTTCCTCTTGGGCCTGGCTGGCCTTGGTCAGTGGGAGATGGTTCCGGAAGGTGCTTATATCTGTAGCCCAAAGACATCATAAACTCGTCCTGAAGCCACAGTTTCCCAAGAGTTTCAGGCAAGATGGGTGAGACCCTTAATAAGGAACCCAGCATAGGCTTAGGCTGAGCGGGGCTACTGGGGCCCAGGAATGGAAAATTCATCTTGAACAATCCTGAGCCTGGGTAGGGTCTTTGCGTTGGGCCCCTCTGTGCTGGCGGTAGAAGGTGAGAGGGAATCCTTGGGTTCTGAAATCTGACTATCCTGTGGGGTTTCTATCTGTTTGGGGCCACCTCCCCAGCCCCTTGGAAACACACCTGTGTTCCCCCTGAGGGGACCGCGGGGCCCCTGGGCTCCCTGCAGACACCACTTCAGGGCCTGCTGCTGGCTCTGGCCCGCGTGCAGTGTGCTCTGTTCTAGTCTCCACTGCTGCCAGGCGGCCGCCCAGCACAGGGTCCCTGCTGCCACACGGTGCTGGAGGCCAGCAAGCCAGGACAGCCTGGCATCTTGGGGCTGCCGCTGCCAGAGCACGGCCAGCAGTGGCAGCAGCAGCAGCAGGAGAAGGAACAGCAGCAGCAGCAGCATCTCCAAGCAGCTCCTGGGAGGAGGAAGGGACCCAAGTTCTGGTCCTGGAGGGGAGGAGAGGATAACCCATTTCTCCCTCACCTTAAGCCCCCTCTACCACACGAGAAACCCAGGAAAAAGGAAGTCTGGGAAGAAGCCAGGACCCATCAGGCAGGTGATGCAGAGGAGACAACATCAAGGCCTTGGAGTCACACTGACCTGAGGTCGGACACTGGTTCTGACACTTGGTTAGCCTTAGGGCCCTGGGTAAGTCAGCCAGCTGCTCTGGGCTCCGTTCCCCTGTCTGTAAAATGGGAATAATAACAGCTTCGCAGAAGATATAGACAGGGTTTGACACAGTGCCTGGCACACAGCGGCTGCTCAATGACATGTCCTGCCCACTCCTGGGTGGCTCTGCTGCATCCCAGGATCCACCCTGTCCCCGCTCCGGGCCCCTCCTAAGCCCCGGGGAAGTGGTTCCATGTCCCACGTGCACCTGTCATAGCCCACTTGCGCAGACTCTCAGCACCCAGGGCCCCTTCGGCGGTGGGTACTTGGGTCTCTGTACACAGCCAGTCAGAAAGATGGAGCCGTGGCTTTAAAGGGAGGGGCCCTGATGGGGAAATCCGGTCACGGGCCTGAGGGAGGAGCTGGAGGGGGGTGCTCTTAAAGGGACAGCTTGCCTAAGGGTCCAAGCCCAAGCTGGCAGGTGGGAGGAAGCTACCACAGGAGACTTCAAACTCCTGCTGTCTTCAAACTCCTGCAGGTGAAGGAAGAGAAAGCTGAGTGTGGGAAAGAGTTCAGGAAGCAGCTTGAGTTGGGAGAAGGGCGCACCCCAGGAGAGCAGGTTCAAGCTGGAGAACTGTTAAAAAAAAAATTTTTTTTTTCTCCCAATCCAGAAACCATGTCCACAAAGATCTACCAGCTTTCTCTCACAAAGGTGGTAGAGAAATAAATCCCCACTCCTGGCATAAGCAACCACAAATCTAGTTGCTCTCCATATAGATTTGTCTGTTCTGGACATTTCATATAAATGGAATCAGAACACGTGGTCTTTTGTGCTGGCTCCTTTCACTTAGCATGTTTTCAAGGTTCTTCCACGTCGTACCGTGTAGCAGTAGTTCATTTCTTTTTATTGCCAAATGTATTTCATGGTATGGATATGCCACACCACATTTACTTATCCGTTCATCAGTTGATGGGCATTTGGGGTCATTTCCGTTCTTTGGCTACTATGTGTAACGCTATTACGGATATTTGTGTACAAGTTTTTCTGTGGATATATGTTTTTATTTTCTTGCATAAAAATGTGATGAATGCAAGGGATTTACTGCATTCCAATGAATAGAATAGCTGGGTTGCATAGTAGCTCTGTTTAACTGTGTAAGGAACTGTTAAACTGGTTTCCATAGTGGCTGCACCATTTTACATCCCCACCAGCAGTATATGAGGGTTTCAAATTCTCTACATCCTGGCAAACACTTGTTATTACCCAGCTTTTTGATCACAGCTATCGTAGTGGGGTGTGAAGTGACTTGAGTCTGTTTTAATTTGCATGGTCCCCCATGACCAATGACCAAGCATCTTTTCATGTATCTATTGGCCATTTATACACTTCTATGGAGAAATGTCTTTTCAGATCCTTTACCCATTTTTTACTGGGCTATTTGTCTTTTTATTATTAAGCTGTAAGAGTTCTTTATATATTTTGCAGTCAAGTCCCCTGTCAGATTGATGATTTGCAAATGGATTCTTCCATTCTGTGGGTTGTCTCTTCATTTTCATGATAGTGTCCTTTGAAGCACAAAAATTTTAAATTTTGATGAAGTCTAATTGTCTACTTTTTCTTTTGTTGCTTGTGCTTTTGGTGTCATATCTAGGGACCCATCGTCAAGTCCAAGGTCATGAAGATTTACTCCTATGTTTTCTTCCAATACTTTCATAAAATTAGCTCTTACATTTAGGTCTTTGATTTGTTTTTTCTTGTGGTAAAATATGCCGAAGATTTACCATTTTAACCCGATCAGGTATCCACTTCAGTGGCATTAAGTACATTCACACCATCGTGCAACCATCACCACCATCCATTTCCAGAACTTTTTCTTCTTCCTACACTGAAGTGTGACTCATGAAACACTAACTCCCCATTCCTCCTCTCCCCAGCCTCTGATGACCATGATTCTATTTTCTGTCTTCATGAGTTTGACTACTCCAGGTAGCTAACATAGGGGCATCCATACAATGTCTGTCCTTTTATGTCTGTCTTATTCATTCAGCATAATGTCTTCAAGATTCACCCATGTTGTGGCATGTGTCAGAATTCCCTTCGTTTTTAAAGCTGAATGGTATTCCCTTGTATGTCTAGACCACATTTAGTTTACCCATTCACCCACCGATGGACACTTGTGTTATTTTCACCTTTTGGCTTTTGTGAATAACGCTGCTACGAACACGGGTGTACAAATATCTGTTTGAGTCCCGCTTTCAATTCTTTTGAGTATATACCCAGAAGTGCTGGATCACATGTTTAACTTTTTGAGGAATCTCTATGGTATTTTCACAGCAGCTGCTACTTTACATGCCTACTTGCAACGCGCATGGGTTCCAATTTTTCCGCATCCCCTACAACAGTTGTTTTTTTGTTTTGTTTTAACAGCCAATCTAATGGGTAAGAAGTATTTCATTGTAGTTGTGATTTGCATTTTTTTTTTTTTTTAGAAAAATTTTTTAAGTTTCTTTTTATTTATTTTGGGAGAGATACAGAGAGCAAGCGGGGAGGGGCAGAGAGAGATGGAGACATAGAATCTGAAGCGAGCTCCAGACTCCGGGCTGTCAGCATAGAGCTCAACTCGTGGCTCCAACTCACAAACGGTGAGATCATGACCTGAGCCGAAATCAAGAGTCAGATGCTTAACTGACTAAGCCACCCAGGTACCCCATGATTTGCATTTCTAACGACTGAGCATTTCTTGTGTATTTATTGTCCACCTGTATATCTTTAGAGAAATGTCTACTCACATCCTTTCCATTTAAAAAAGGGGCACCTGGGTGGCTCAGTCGGTTAAGCGTCTGACTTTGGCTCGAGTCATGATCTTGCAGTTCGTGAGTTCTAGCCCTGCATTGGGCTCTGTGCTGACAGCTCGGAGCCTGGAGCCTGCTTTGGATTCTCTGTCTCCCTCTCTCTGCCCCTCCCCAGCTTGTGCTCTCTCTTTCTCTCAAAAATAAGTAAACATTAATTTTTTTTTAAATTGTTGTTGACTTGTAGGAATTCTTTATATATTCTGGATATTAATCCCTTATCAGACATATAATTTGCACATATTTTCTCCCAATCTGTGGGTTGTCTATTCACTCTAACAGTGTCCTTTGATGCATAAAAGTTTTTGTTTTGATGAGGTCTACTTTTTTAAAAAGTGTATTTATTTATTTATTTTGAGTGAGAGAGAGAGCACGAATGGGGTTGGGGCAGACAGAGAGGAGAGAGCGAGAATCCCAAGCAGACTTTGCACCAGGGCGGAGCCCAATGAAGGACCCAACCAACCAACTATGAGATCATGACCTGAGCCAAAGTCGGACGCTTAACCGACTGAGCCACCCAGACACCCCGATGAGGTCCAATTTATCTTGTGTTGCCTGTGGTGTCATGGCCAAGAAGTCATTGCCAAATCCAATGTCATGAAGTTTTCTATGGTTTCTTCTAAGATTTTTATAGTTTTATCTCTTACATTTAGGTCTTTGATCCATTTTAATTTTTGTACGTGATGTAACATAAGGCTCCAACTTTATTCATTTTTTTTTTAATGTTTTTATTTTTTTGAGAGAAAGGTACGCCCATGTGCATGCTCAGGAGAGGGGCAGAGAAAGAGGAGGACAGAAGGATACAAAGCGGGCTCCACGCTGACAGGCTGACAGCAGCAGCCCGATGCAGGGCTCGAACTCCCCAACTGTGAGATCACAACCTGACCCAAAGTCGGACACTCAACTGACTGAGCCACCCAGGCGTCCCTCTCCACCCCCCCCCCACTTTATTCTTTTGCATGTGGCTATCCAGTTGTCCCAGCACCACTTGTCCCAGCACCACTTGTTGAAAAGACTATTCTTTCCCCATTGCATGGTTTTGGCACTCCTGTGAAAAATCAGTTGACCACGGACACATGGGTTTCCTTCTGGACTCTGAATTCTATTCTATGGATCCATACATCTATCCTTATGCCAGTATCACACTATGTTGATTATTGTTGCTTTGCAGTAAGTTTTGACCTACTGTGACATGTGACTACTTCAACTTTATTCTTTTTCAGTTGGTTATTTAGGAGTATATTGTTTAACTTCCATATATTTGTGAATTTTCCAGGGCTTGTCTTGTTATTGTTATTTGGGTAGTGAGTGGCTGATCATTTTAGTGAGTCCATATACTTCCCCCCCCCCCCCCCCCCCCCCACCTCCCTACAGTGCAAAGCCTCTGCTATTGCTCATTCAGGGGGTGCAGACTTGAGTATGCCCAGTCACCCTAGCATGACAGTGATTTTCACCTCTTTCCCTGACCACACCCAGCTGTTAAGCTACACGAATTGTTGGCTAATTGCTATATATTTTCCAACAATGCTTTGGGGGAAGAAATGGCTCCACAAACTGATCCAATCAAATTCAGGTTTCTTTGAAGGGACAGTTTCACGGCCAGTGTTTGAGATTTGTTCTGACCCCGAGAGAGCTCCTCCCGGCCGTCTCTTTCCCCATCTTTCTCTAGCACACTCGCTAGCCCAGCTCAACCTCTACCTCCGATAAAGCTATCATTCTCCTGCCACTTGCCTTTCACAACCTCCAAGGTTTCAGAGAGCACCCTTAAGCTTGAACTTCCCTTGCAAATGAAGTCCGTTCTTTTGAGGAGAGATTCGAAGTTTTCTGTTTCAGAGCCTGCCTCTCTGTCCCGCCCCCCTCCCCTCCTCCGTATCTCTTAGCCCTGATCATTCTTGAGCTGCACACCCACGTCTCCTTGGACATTCCAACGTATCCGGATTTGTACTCAATCTTCCTCCCAACCTGCTCCTCTCCCACATCTTCCCCTCCCCATCTCACTGAGGAGCATCTCTATCAATTACTTCCCAACCCAGAAACCTGGAATTACTCTAGACTCCAATCCTGCTCTCCAGCATTGGTCACAATGTCTGCATAGTAGGCCTCAGGGCCACTGCTGTGGTATCCTCATCTAGAACCTCCTCTCCTCTGACCCACACTGTTGAAACAGCCTCCCCGGATCCCTGCCTTCCTGTTTTGCCTCCCTTCAATCCATCATACACAGTGTCGCTATAGAATTTCCTAAAATGAGACTCTGGCCATTCCTTTGCTTGAAGTCTGGTAAGGTTTCACTTGCCATCATGCTCAGGTGAAGTT